AAAAATGTCAAGAAATGTGGCCAAGAATCATCATCATTACAGTTGTCACTGCTGTGGGACCTCAAACAGGTCTTCTTGGACCTCAGTTTACTCATTAAAGGCAATGAAGGAGCCACGGTAGGAGAACTAGTTGCCATCGAGTCAATTCTGACTCACGGTGACCCCACGTGTGTCAGAGTAGAATTGTAATTTTCCGGAAGTAGTTTGTCAGGACTTTTTTTCAAGGCACCTTTGGGTAGACTGACACCCCTAACCTTTTGGTTAGCAGCCAAAGGACGCTGGGGATCTAATTCTAGCTCTGTCCCCAATAGGCTATGTGACCTTTACTAAGTTTCTTCCTCTTTCTAGGCTACTGTTGACATTTCCCTAGCTGTGAAATAAACGAATTGAACCAGCTTTTCATAATTTGCAGAGGAAAGATGAGACAGTCTGCTTTTGTAAAGAGTCACAGTTTTGGAAACTCCACCTTGTCCTATAGCATTGCTATGGGTCAAAATGTAATGCAGTGCGATTTTGTTGTTGTTGTTCAGTGCAAAATTAAAATGCAAGAACCCTCGTTCAAAAGTTTCAAGAAGATGATTGTTGTTGTTATGTGCCATGGAATCGGTGCCAACTCGTAGTGACCCTGTACAGGGTTTCCGAGGCTATAAATCTTTACGGGAGCAGAACGCCTCATCTTTCTCCCGCGGAACAGCTGGTAGTTTCAAACTGCGGACCGTGAGCTTAGCAGCCCGATTCGTAACCACTACGCTACCAGAGCTCCTTAAGAGGATGATAGCAGAGCATTAAACCAAGTCAGTGTCCTTCAGAGTGAAGTGTACTTGGACAGGTCACACCCCCATGAAGCCAGTCCTGAAACTACTGCAAATAAAATGTTCTGGGCAGCGCTTAAGGACTGCTTTTGGTTGGAGCTCTATCTGTGTTCCTTGGAAGCCCCTATGGTATTTCTGAGGAACCTCAGGTTCCTGGGAGCATAGCTGAAAAAGCACATGTTAGATATTCTCTAAAAAGCCTTTTTAGCCATTGGGTCTATAGTAGAATTCTCATATAGAGCCTTTGGGTGAACCCTCCCCCGCCCC